TTCAAGAAAACGTTTTTACTAGCTGATTAAGTGATTCTTTATATTCTGATTCATCAAGCAATTGTTATAGAATAATTTCATCACCTTTTTAGGAGTTAAAGAAAAAGGTAAAATAATAGGATGATGCACATTATATCTACCAGTTTGAGTCGTGAACCCTGTCAGAATGCATGTGCGCATGTGTGGCATACTTAATTCCATGGAGAACTAAAAGTCAATTTTTTTAACCACAGACCTTGGCAAGTGGGGATTGCAGCAGTGTGAGTCTTCATTAGAGCAGACGTTTAATGGGTATTGTGGCGAAACTCTGCTTAGACAGCTGGATCGGCAGAATTGTTGAAAATATAACTGAAGAATATAATTTAGTTCCACCGCAGGACGGCGCAACGGGACGCATAAATACAGCTATACTGCGACTTTATTCCACAACATATGTTAAGACGCAACATAGATACCTTCCTGCGTTGCTTCGGATCAAACGGGATGACCATTAAAGGACATTAACTTCAAGGATCATTGATTCTATGTTATTCGTATTTTTATGGGTGTACTGTTATCTGATAGTCGTATAAAGCTGCTAAATCATTCTCACTGTTATTTAAAGTTGGGAGATGCACTATGTGCTACTGTATGTATGCCATTCTCATACACTATGTGCTGCTCTTGTGTATGCCGTTCTCATGAGCCCTTCATAAGACATCGATTCGGATTGAGCATGTATGTCTGCACACGTAGTGGTAAATGGCATGAGAATTTCCCAGATTTAAATGAAAACTTTTCTCGTAGGTGGAACACATTTTATTATTATAATTTGGAAAAAAAAATTTACATCTTCAGAATATTAAATTATTCAGTTAGTAGCTGGAAGGCAGGTTTTGAGTTTGTTCGATTGAGAACAGAAGAATAATTTCAAAGAATCCATTTTCATTATTCAATACAATAATGATAGCGGCTGTTTTGCAATGGAAATGAATCTGCAGGAGGATTACAATACTATGTCGTCTATACTTTGATATTTTTTTCTTGATAATTCTTCATATATTGTTAAAATATAAAGTAAAAGAAGAGATTTCAGTTTCATTTTCAAAAGTTAATAGAGACAGAAATTATATTCATCCTCAAATTGTAAAGACTTTTTTAATCCAAAGGGACAATTTGCTCAGAAGGACTAATAATTTTGTTTTGACATTTTGCGTCGATTCACTACAAGCGTTATTTCACTTTTCAGGTTGTTGCCACCTAATACTATCCCCCTGTATTATATTTTAAAAAATTAAATAATGAAGAATCTTCATAAATGTATTCATGTTTCTCGCATTGTGATAAAACAACGGTACCTAGAGTCATACAAATTTTGAATAACGTAATTTTCATGCGAATATGAGTATCTGGAAGCCCAAATTTGAAATTTGGAATTTGGTTTACTATCAGTTTCATATTTGTAAAACTTATTGTAACGAATTTTTTTATTAAAAAAACTCAAGGATTTCGTAGCGAGCAATGGCAACGTTCTACAGAAAAAAAAAAAAAAAAAAAAAGTTTTTATCTCCAGCGCGCGAGACTGTGTATCGGAAATTCCAAAGATATGCTCATTTAAAAATAATTTTGCAATATTACTCTTGAACTGAATTTTATGAAGTGCGAAGAACATGATAATTAATAAATAAAGGTAACACAAACAATGTTAAAAAACGCCTCTTTGGACGTAATTTAAAGCCTGAAACTTTTCAGATTTAAATGTTTTTTAATTTTTTTATATTTAAGCACGGATTAGAACTTTTGAACAAAAGGTGGATATTTTTTCTTGTAAATAAATATTAATGCTAAGAACTAGTTTCCTTCATTACCGCCGCGAAACAAATCAGAGGCTATGAGAAATTCCTCTAGTCATGCCTATTTCAACTACCTATTTCAGCAACCTCTAGTCATGCCTATTTCAACTACCTATTTCAACAACCTCTAGTCATGCGTATTTCAACTACCTATTTCAACAACCTCTAGTCATGCCTATTTCAACTACCTATTTCAACAACCTCTAGTCATGCCTATTTCAACTAAGTGTATTTTTATATCAGTAATTTCAGTATCGAATTATTAGAAAAATATCACAACTTTTGTCCACTCTTTAGATCATATTTCGTTTTTAAGGACGACTAAAAGTTTGCTTAAATTTTGCATTAAGAATGCTTTTAAATTCTGAATTAAAAAGCTTTAAATGTTCATAATTCACAAAAATACCATAATCATCATGGATTTCTTTTTGTATGGTTTAGTACTTAAACTATTTCCGTGTAAAAAATATTCTCTCATTAAAGAATTAAATTTACCTAAAAATTTCAAATTCGTGTGTCATTTGTATAACTCTAATATTATTCTTCGTTAAAATTTTTAAGTAAAACAATTACATTAGTTTATAAAGTATTTCTCCTGTCTTCTTATCATGCCTTTGTGGTGTAATAGTCAGCACGCTCGACGCGTACTCGAGAGGTCCGTGGTTCGAGTCCCGGCGAGGGCATTCCTCATTTTTCATCTCTTGCTTCCAAATAACATAATATCTCTGCACGTTTATCATAGTTATTAAGTAAAACAATATAGCCGTATAGATTTCTAAGGGCAACCAAACACAGCTCCTTCTTCTAAGTTCACCGCCCCCCGGGCAGAATGGAAAGAACGACACACATTTTCATTTTGAACTACGGTATAAGAAAACAAACTGAAACGTAGCGGCATCTGTTGAGGAAAATAGTAATAAAATTTGATAATAAAAAGTAATTTATTGAAGTTTTGAAAATACTAGGAAGGATTGGATTTTAACTTATATTATTATATAAATATGATAACTTTTCTTGAATATGAAAACTTAAAGAAATTCGATTCACTAACCGAAGGAAGTTTTACAGATATCTTTTTGCAAAACCAAATTCATAACTGTGAATAAGTGTTCAATAGCTATTAGCTGTCAAATATGTAATTTATTTCTCTTTTGCGAACATAAGATTCATGTTTGTTTGAGCGAAATTTGAATGCCAGTTTAGTTTGGCTGACGTATGAAAAACCCTACTATTAAGATATGATATAAATTCTTCAAGAATTAAAATTAGATGTGGGATCTTAAAAACAATCGAACAGAGAGCTTTTCTGATACATAGAAAATAATTTAAAATCTGAATGGAGAATCGCAGCGTTTTCCGTTTTCTGATTGTACGATGAAACGGAATAACCGCAATATTTTTATATTTATTACGTCTTTGAATCGCCATGATGATTACATATTCACACTTTTTGACAGTAATAAAGAAGATTTTACCAAAATTTTATCTGTTATGAATTCGATAGATACAACCCTCCAGTTTAATTTTGAAACTGAATCTGATTATTCCTTTCATTTCCTGGGTAATCTAATTATTCAATTTTTTTTTTAATCCAGTGAATTTTATTTCAAAACTTCTCTTAACAATAAACCATTTTCTACTTGTTTGTTTTCCAGTGTGAAATCACGTCACCTTACTAAACAAAAAGTAGTTTTTTTTTTCTTTCTTTTTTTTTTTTTTTCACTTTTATGTGTATCGTGTTTTAAAAGTAGTTCAGAATCTTTCTCAAGAAAGTTATTTGAAATCGGTAGCTACTTGGATTTTCTCTCACAGTGATTGATAAAGACCTTTAAAACATTTCATTTTCTCATCAAAAAAGACATGCAGTTACCGACAATAATAACTTTGTCGTTGTTTTATTTCATTCTTCTATCAGCAACAAAATCTCTCGGATTCTCCATTTGTTCAACATCCGTTTTCTATCAGCAAAATTCAGCATTTATTTTTAAAAGATCTCATCTCTGACTTAAGTTCAATTCACGTTTGTGTAGCGTTCGGGTATTGCATATTTTGTCATATATCGCACAAACGATAATAGCGTGAAAATTTAATATCAAAGTAAAACTGTGATTTTTCCAACTATAATTAATTGTACAAATCACAGTTTTGACATTAGTTCTGCAATTATTATCTATAAAGATTTTTCAGTTGGTGTACTGAATTTCCTTCTCACATTACACATTGACGAAAATATACATCTTCTTTAACTTATAATAGTAATTCAATGCAGGCCTTCATAAGGTTTTAGAAAACTCTAAATCGTAGTCTTTTACCTTTCGTCACTGTTTTCGTATCTTGTTTAACTAATGACAGTAATTCCAGTGAAGTTCTTCATATCGTTTAGGGAGCTCTACTACTTACTCTTTCACATTTCATTACTGATTTCCTCGACAGATGACGCTAAGCTGAGATTCCGTTTGTTCCACTCATTGCTTTTGACATACAAATGGTTTCTGATCTTCGTAGTTTGCAAAAATAATTTTTGTTTGGAAAAGAAGGACCTGTGTCTGTTCGCCATTGAAACGGATAGAGTTTTATTTAGACAAAGATTTTTTTAAACTATAAATTTATGCAATAGTGCGTTCATCTTCCATTTACACCGTTCCTCGACCTAATCTTCTATTTAAAAAGTAATTAATTAGAGTTGTCTTTTATTCTTTCTTCCTTTAAGCAACTGTAAAGAAACAAGCTGGATTTTTTTTTGAGTGCCTAAAGCTTTGGTTTAATTACTTTCATACCTTTTTGTCAGTATTCAAAGAGAGCATGTAATTTTTCTGATGCATTTCTAAACAAATGTTTTACTGTTTTATTATACAAAATTTGTAATTAATATCCCGTATGCCTGAAAAATTAATAAACTGGTCTACGTAGAAAATATAAACATAAAATAAGGACAGAAATGCAATATTAAACAAAATTCACTTTATATTGATTTAAATCATTTTTAGTGCTCTATGAAGGACTAAAAATAAATTGTTAGTAAAATTACACATGATAACCTTTTGTATGTAACGAGATGCACATGAAATTATACTGATAGAGTGCTAATTATTATTCCTTGAAAGAAATTTTTAGCAATAGTATTTAAGTCAATGAAATAAATTAAAATTTTCTTTTATTTCTTTACAGACTCAATGAAAGATGGCCCTACTATATCAGGTGGGAAGAACGAATACCAAGTAGGTGAAATAGTTGATGTCAATTGCACAGCATCTAGATCCCAACCTCCTGCAGAGCTGCACTGGTACATAAATGATAAAGAGGTACACATTACAATTATTTTATAATATTTTGCTCTTAAATTGTAGAGTGAATTGAACAAACGCTACGAGCAATAAGTTTAGAGGATTTAAGTGCGATATATAGTATGATATAAATCTATGAATATTTAAATACCCACTTATTTTCTAAACGAATCCAACAAACGTATATGAGTTATAGAGCACACAGAAACAAAAACGTTTCGCCATAGAATAAACGGTCACAAATGCAGCTATTACGCGCTGGTTATCACAGTCAGACACGTCTAGAAACGCGAAGAATCTTCGTGTTCTGCACTATATTTCCGCACTATGATTCCCACTTTCTTGTTTCCCAAGATCCTCTTTTAATTTTTAACACTCTTTTTCTTTCTTTTCCAAGACCCTCCTTCATTTTTACTCTTCAGCTAATAAAATAGAATTTTAAATAATTTCAAAAACGTATAACGTTTTCGTTCTTCTCTTATGCCACCCTCTCAGAACAGATTTATGTGGATATCGTCCTACGGGAAAGTGTAAAATGGCATTAAACGTCTTAAGAGTTGCGCTGATGTGTCTTAAACGTCGCGCTGATGCAATATCTGCGGCAAAATATTATAATCTTGCCAGGTCTAGGAAGGTCCAGCAGCGATTGCGAATGGCCAATGTGCATACAAAAAAAAAAAAAAAAAAAAAAAAAAAAAAAAAAAAAAAAACCTGCACTCGGAAAACGTGATTGTAGGGCGATGGCGCTACAGCGCATTTCAACATGGCGGTGCACGCTCATCTACATGTGACATTTCCAGGCGAATGGATTGGCGACCATAACTTGGTTCTCTGACACACCCGATCTGTCTCCTCTCAATTTCGTTTCATGAAGACATCTGAAATCTTGCACGTGCCAGATTCTCATTGAGTTCAATGAGGGTCGTATTACCTGGCTTTTAGTAGCTACCGCAGAAATCAACGCTATGACTGGTAATTTTCAAACCAACTAGGAACTCTTAGGTTGACGATACCAGGTTTCCAGGAAAAGTAATAGTTCCCATTTGGAACAAATTTAAGAATTCTTCATTTCAGTAGTTGCTGGGTTTGTGCATGTGATTTCATTAGTACTTCTGTTCTTTGTTCTAATTCTGTAACACATCGAATTTTCATTGCATTATTTCGTCCTACGCTACTAAAGTTTATTTGTGTTCGGTACTAAAGTTTATTTGGTTCGTTACTAAAGTTTATTTGTGTTCAGTGAGACTTTGGTTCGATATTTTGCGCTGCTTTTTGTTCATCCCTTGTTTCGAATTGTGTATGTGCTCCTAAATATAAGGCGCGGTTCAGCGAACACCCATTGTGTTTGTAATAATACATTCTAAGGTGAAAAGTGTTTTCCGGTGTGTTCTATTACCCGTAGATACAGTAGATTTATGACGCGTGACTTAAGTGATGTAAAACTACCTGCTTAATATTTCATAACGATTACAACACCAAAAACAACCTTGTTTCTTTTTCATATAAGGCATCCTGAATAATTACACTCAACAAATACATACTTCGAATTTTATTTTCGACTAATACATTAAAATGTAATAAAAAAAACTTTTAATTTCGCAATGATCAAACCAAAGAAAAGACTCTGACTCTTTATTTAGAAAAATTAGAACAGCTGACTTAAAGTGAGAATGAAATATAAAGTATAGGGCGGATTTTAATTCCATGATTTCACTTGTCATACAAAGAAGTGCCTTCGAATTAAGGGTAATTGTAACCAGTAATGACTGCTGATTCTTTGCTAGACATGGATTCGACAAATTTACTGAATATAGGGGTATGACATGTCACACTTTTTATAGAGTTTCCAGTAAATCTCTTAAAGACCATAGTGGAGAATGACAGACATGCACTCCTTTTTCTAGAATTTTCAAAATTCGTTCAACGGAATTTAATTTAATGCTTCTAGGAAATAGGAAATAATCAGTGGAATACTCTTCAAATCAGGCGGTTGTGAACCGAGATCTGTGAAAGGAGTAGTTATCTTGCTAATGCATTCCATCCGGATATCAAAAGAACATGAATGATCTACGTGACCCAAGGCAGATTTATAATCTTAGGTGCAATGAGGGTCTTTGCTAAAGGTATGAAAAACCCTAAACATTGTCAAAAGAAAACACCCCTGAACACCCGTGATATTGTGCTGTTCTGCCTGGCATCTAGGATCTATGCATTATAGTGCTGGCGCAAAACTCTGAACCAACTAACAACGAATAAGTGATAGCTTAACTTTTATTATGCTCGCTTCCAATCGTGCTTATAATCAAGGAGTTCTGTGGTCTCTGCAAGAAGCTGCAGAGACGAGCAGTGTGAAGCAGCACTTTCAAGAGTCTTTGGCTTCAGAAGTCCGTACAGAAAAGAGAGAGCTGCACTGTCCGTATACTACATGTTCAATTACACCCTTCATTCAGTTGTGCTCACTTGTACTAAGCTTTGGGTGCCACTGGCTACGTATGATGCGGCTGAGGTTTAGAAGGTCGTGATCATTCAAGGTTGATTGTCCCTTGAAGTTTGCGCAATTGGTCTTTCTTTCTCAGATATATGTCTACTCTTGCTATCTCTTGACATTGTGAAGCAAGATAACCAAAGCACTAGAACTATTTATGAAATTGAAGGACAAATATTCCGAACATCTATTATTTTTCTCCAGTTGAAGGAATCTGATTCACAAATTTTACCAATAATTTTAGTTTAAAAAAATTTTAGAGAGGGTTAAATTTCCAATTGTAAATATCTTACATCAACGTACTCACGTGCACAGTAATGAGGCAGCAGCTCTACCACATTTGCATAAACTAATTCAATTATAATGAAATTATATCTTAATTCAATTATACCCCATTGTACAATCAACTGCAGTGTAATATAAATAGATTATTATTTTACAATTTCCTCCTACAGAACATATTGTACTGCAAGTTTTAGTGGTTGAATGATGTCAAATCATAGTGATACAAAGATAACAAACACTGGTTAATAAATAATTAGTGGAATGTTCTTCAAATCAGTTGGTAGCGAACCGAGATCTGTGAAAGAAATAGTTATCATGCTCCATATTCTAAGGACTGAAAATGAAATGTAAGCCTTTTTGGACAGGAATATGTAATTCAGTCAAACCGTTATGAAGGGCCAATAACAGTTATTCTCGTTTTTGTAAGCGTAACATCATCTTATAAAATCAACAAATAGATACTGCTTTTTGATTACGAGAAATACGTACTGCTTTTTTTGATTACGAGAAATACGTACTGCTTTTTGATTACGAGAAATACGTACTGCTTTTTTTGATTACGAGAAATGCGTACTGCTTTTTGATTACGAGAAATACGTTTGCTATTATGCTTAACTGATGATGATAACTAACAGCCATTACGCGTTTCAAACAGAGGTGAGTCAGGTGAAAGTTCTAATGTTATATAGGCGAATGTTTTTATAACATAGAAAAGGCAAAATAATATTATAAGAAGTAAGTTATTCAAAACAAAAATCAAAAATAATTTATCTCCCATTGATTCATCATATATCTCTAATTAAAGTACACCAAGATAGAAAACTTAAATGCGTATTTCCAAGGCAATTATATGAAAAAAAAAACTGAGGGCATATTTTTAGAGCAAGCGATAGACATTCTGTCGGAATATGTTCCTATAACAGATAGACCATAAACATCCTAGATTCATAAAGGAACATTAAGGAGGTCATATTCCTATGAGAGACAGACAATAGAATATCCTAGATTCATCAACAAGTATTTTCTGTTTGTAAAAACAGTATAGCTTTGAATCGTCTGGAAAATATATGTCTGGAAACGTTTCCTTAAGGAGAAACCTAACATAAAAGGCAGGTGGATGTCACGCATAATGAAAGGAGAGTTATCTGTTTGTTGTATTCTCTTCAGATCTTTCCGGAGTGAGTTCTTTCTTAATAGCAGTAATCCGCAGTATTTGTGAATAAGTGAACCATGTATGAAACTTGATTCACACACACAAATAAAAACATTTATTTTAGGCGAGCAATTATTATTCCTGCCATTACAGGCCGGGAACTTCTTCTTTTCCACTAATCAAAACATAAACAAATATTCTCTGCGCATAGCGCCATCTAAAAACCTCTTTACAGTGTTTTCAGCAGGAAAATGAAATGAAAAGCTCGGAATGATTTGGGTTTTTGGAGTAATGTAACATACTAGCTTTGTAGTGTTACTCTCTATCAGTTAACTAATGTTCTTCAATTTTACTAAGAGAGAAAGCGAGTAATCGCTCCGTTTACAAAATAACAACTACGTCAGGGAAATGTTTAACGAAATAATTTTATTAAAAGATTTAACTGAACAAAATGCACACTAAAACAAACAGTCTAACCAATAGTTGGCTTAATTTATTTTCGGCCCGATTTACTTTGACAAGCCAAAAGTAAAGACGAATAACTAATGTAAAATATCTGGGCAAAATAACTATTAAGGCGAGTATCGCTACCAAAACCTCTTTCTAGAGAGTTAAAAATGTTACCATCAAGATGACGAACAGAATTAAAGAAACTGAATGTGTGTCGTACGAATGGCTAGGCTTTTGATAATAAAAAAAAACTGAGAATTATATCACAATAGGCAAAGATATAAAACTAAATACAAATAGTGGTTACCAAAGAAATTTCGTTTTGAGAATAATATAAAGTTTTTAAGCAAACCAGTAGGTTTTATTTGTAAAGAATTATAACTTCGTTTTCATTTATATCAATTGAAAATGTCTAACAGTAATGTAAACCGCGCACTCAAAACTAGGTCTCATAAACTTTTAAAGGCAATAACTTCACTATTTACATTATTACCCATGACAAACACCATACTCGCCTTTAATAGCCAAGGACACCAGCTCTAAGGTCATTCTGAAGTTTTGCAATTAAAATAGTAAAGGATTTTATATTGAGAGGGTTCACTTTTAAACTGTGGAATAAATAACTATTAACATTTATAACATAAT